GGGATAGGAAGAAATCATAGTTCGCCGAAAGTGCTCTCACCAGTTTAATAACACGCTGTGCAAATGTCATAAAGTAAATAGCATGATGGTTATAGCACTGTTTAAAGGAAAACCTAAATAACCCATGCAAAGACCACAACCAACTAGTAATCTTCTGTCGAATACCCTGAGCTAGCATTCTATCTTGGGTTCGTTTTGTGGCCTTTCTAATAATGTTAAGATCCTCTACTTCAAGCTTCCACCTTGGATTGCATGGGTCGTTTCTCTTTATACACAAGTTATGAAGAGCTATGCAACACATAATGACTGCTGTAATATTGGATCTTCTACATTCAGTTTTTTGGTAAAGGATTCGCCATCTTCCTGTAAGCATGCCATAGGCATGCTCAGAAACAACCCTGGCAGATCTTAATTTGGCATTAAAATTCATTTCTGTAGCATCTTTGGTAGTGTCTGGAAATGCTTTAAGCAACCACGAACGCGAGGGAAATGCGGCATCACCCACTGTAGTAAAGGGGAGGCGTCTATAGCCAGGTAACATCAAAACCTGATGTAGAATGCAGTGACCAGCTTCAATTTCGTTGAATATGTTTCAGGACTGAAGGAGTGTTGAGTCATGCATAGAGCCTGGTGCTCCGACGTCAACCCAAAGAAATCGTTTATTTGAACCAATTAAACCCAAGTTTGTTACTGAGTAACGCTTTTTGAAACTGAAGAAGTTTTTAAGGTGACAATTGATGTAGACATGGAAGCCGTCCCATGCCCCCACACATGGATATTCCCAATCTTCTAGAAACGAAGTAAGCTCTTTCTTTCATTCCTCTTCATCTTGAGGCAGCCTAACCAAATCATCATACAAAGATTGTACAATGACTTTAGTCACAGTGTTAAAGATCGAGCAGGCAGTAGATGGTGACACGCCAAACAAGTCGCCTACTGTACCATACYAACATCCATGTGCAAGACGATACAGTGTAAGTCCTAGCTGGCAGTTTGGAGAAGTCGGTTCTTTAAATTTAGTCGTCTCCTTCCTAATTTGATCAGAAATGGAATCGAGGATGAACTGAAATGTCTCACGTGTTACCCTCACTCTTTTCTTAGACTGCGCCTCATTCCAGTTTTGGTAACCGTGATCCCACCAACGATGGTTTCTTTCTTCGTCAGGTTCCTTTCGAACCCTAAAAGACGACCCAAGCAACACGCCACTAGCTGGATATATAAGAGAGGAAGTGTTTTGCCAAGAAGTGTTTCCAGAGTTGTAATTCACGAAGCTTTCCGATAGAGCCTTAAATTGTCTTCAAATTTTCTTTTTCTCCTAGTTGACATAAGAAAGTACGCCATGGCTGCCATGTTGAGTACTATGAAATTGCAACCGCGCCTGAAAAAAAACCCGTGTTCTATCCGTCTAATGTGAATTCAAGACGGAAGAAATTCAAACGGTTTATCTGTCTCGAATTCATACCAAGACGGAAAATGTAGCAGACGGATTATCCGTCTCTAGTGTGAAAACGGCCAGTAGGGACGTTAAGATACCTGGACAGTTGGTTTAGAGGACGGCTGACCGGAGGTAATTTAACACGTGTAGACTATATTG